GCTTGCTTTAGGGTTTTAGGGTTTAGGGTTTAGGGTTTAGGGTTTTGGGGGTTTTGGGGTTTTAGGGTTTAGGGTTTAGGTTAGGGTTTAGGAGGTGAGGACTGAAGAGCTGTTATACTGTCGGAGAAGGCTGTCATGACATTGCTCCCGTGCCTACTAGGGCCTACTAGAGAAACACAGCTTTCTACGATGTAGGCAGTTAGAACTCTTGGGGTATTAATCTATAGAGTTATGGGAAGAGTACTTTGCATGAGCGGCATGGTTGTGTTGTCAGCTTCACACCCATCGCCTTTCTCTTCAAGCTTTGACTACCAGCCGAGTCACAGATTGGATGGCTCGCTTCAGCAACTAGGGGTGTTGTAGAGACATGTAGCCTGCGGATGTAGCTGGGCTCCTAAACCCTAAACCCTAAACCGGATGTAGCTGGGCTTCTAGGGCATTCTAGGGTTATTTGAGCCTGAGGAGGAGCCTCGATCTTCACATACGACAGGGCCCAGAAAGAAGTACCAAAACTATTTTGGGGCTTCTTCATTATAATTATAATGCAAAATGCACCAAAACCCTAATCTAATTATTCAGGTCCCTATAATCGCTTACGTCAAGGCGTTCATTTTCTAGCCCTTGCTGTCTGATCAGGCCGCAAGCAGATGTTCAAGACGGCGCTCATCGGCCAACTCCGCACAAGAAGCCGAAGATGTTAATTTTTAGAAAGGCCTCAGCATGCAAAACTGCATGGCGGGTTCTTTGCCGGCCTCGATGTCGCAGACAACGTCCCACCTGTGGACTTGCACCTAGCATCTGACTGGTTTTGCGCTTCATCATCGACCATCCTGAGGTTCACATCCTGAACCCTCCGAAGATAATATAGGCGCCTTAGCAATTGGAATAGGGTTTTCAGGCCCAATAGAACTCCCAATATGGTATTGGTAGGCCCCTACAATTAGCTCTAGATTCTAGACTTGCCAACGGACGCAAAACTTGTTCACCCCGAGTCTTGTTTCACACCAAATAGTAGAATTGACACCGCGGCTCTGTAGTTATCTCCTCGCAGAATGTTGTTAAAACAGGCAGGGCTGCCATTTTGCCGACAAGAGGAGCCTCGATAACCCAAATCAGCGGTATGGTTTGTTTGATTGTTCCCTATACCCTACAGCCGTAAAAAAGACACCACAGTCGTGTAGATGCCTTTGCTGCAAAGATTGTTGGGGTTCTAGGAGTTCTGAAAGAACTTTGAAGATGCAACGATTCATGGGAAGGCACACGGGCGACCGACTTCCAGATTTTCGGCTTTCATCGCGTGACTCATATAAGGACATCATAACCCAAAGAACAACAGCCCATACTAAAGGGGCCTTAAATGATTCGAACAGGGTTTTGGGATTCCTTTGGGGGTTCTTTAAACGGTTCTAAAAGGGGTCTAGAATGGGATTCTGTGATACAGGGGTGATAATAGTTAGAGTGGGGTTTCGGGGTATATGTGCTAGAGTTATCATGCGGAGTTACGAAAACGATATTGATAATTGTTGAGGCCCCTATCTGCTGCGTATGACAGAAACGGCATGTGCTTGTGGCGTGTAGCGAGATACATACAATAGTATGTGGTGGGATCGTCGTTTCGGGTATATGTCTGCATGCGTACACCGCGAAAGTACAACACAATAAATTCGGTAGTATGTAGCGCCATGTAACTTCAACAAGCCGTATTGCGAATAATCCTTAAACTCTAAACCCAAAACCCCAAAGCCCTAAACCCCTGTTCAAGTGGCAATCCCTAGTAGAGTTAGAGTTCTGAGTGAAGGCGCACTCCCCAGACCGCAGTTGCAATGCCTGAAGCCTCAAACCGCATGATCCGCTGTAGGGCTACGTCATATCATAGTCATACCATACCATTCTACAGTACAGTATACCATTATTAACTATCAGCAGGTTCTCGTATGTTATCGAAATATAGCCGAGGATGTATATGAGATGTTATGTTGGATCCCGCCTGGGAGCCTCCCGACCTCAGGATGTTTAGGGCTGCGAAGAGCGTCGCTTTGAGACGCGAACCGCAAAACACCCGAAAAACCCAGATGTTAGAAAGCAGGACATGATGTCACCAATGCTGGGGCCAATGTCGCCAATGACGCTGGTTCTGCTCTTTCAGAATTAGAAAAATGTAGGAACCTGATTAAAACACCCTGGCCCTATAATAACCTCAATATATTTAAGAACCCTAACAAAGACCCAGGGTTTCTTAATCAATTTCCTATATTCGGGTTTAGGGCCAGGTGTTGGGTTCCTGAACTGGGTTCGATAAAGTACTTTCGGGTTTAGGGTTTAGGGAGTCAAAGTCAGCAAGCATTACTCGATACTGGACTGAACAGGATAAGCAGAAGACTGCCGATCACGCTCCAAACGAGCCCAAAACCCTGAACCCTAAACCAACTTAAACCCTAAACCCTAAACCCTAAACCCTAAACCAACCTAAACCCTAAACCAACCTAAACCCTAAACAAACCTAAACCCTAAACCAACCTAAACCCTGAACCTCGGTTGAAGAAATCCCTGAGACGGGGACCTTTAAACTTCAATCTCTAATCTCCCGAGCCCTGCACCTTCCTTAGGGTGTTTGGGGTTTGGGCTTAGGGTTTAGGGTTTAGGGTTGAAGGTTTAGGGTTGGAGTTTAGGGTTTAGTAAAACCTTTCAATCCAAAACCCTAAACTTAAGGCACTAAACCGTGGATCCTGAACCCAACACCAAAAGCCTTGATCCCAAACCCTAAACCCTATACCCTAAAGCCCAGCCCTAAGACTCTAATTATAGAGCTTTTCCTGACAAACCCGCCTATTTTCAGCTCGAAATAAGCCTCAACCCTAAACCCCTAAACCCCAAGCCCTAAAGCCCCAAACCCTAAACCCTAAAACCTAAGCCCTAAACCCTAAACCCCTAAACACTAAACCCCTAAACCCTAAAGCCTGAACCCAGCCTCCTCTTCAGGCTGACGGAAAAGGGGCGATCAACAAAAAATACCTGGACCCTGAAAGTATGTAGAAAACAGCCCTTTATAGGTTTTGGGCCATGATTTCACTCACTTTTGGGGGTTTAGGTAATCTTGAACCCAGGGTTTACCCTAACCCCCTGATGTAAAGAAGTTCTACTACCGAGCCCAAGAAAGGTAGGGTTTTGTGGTAGTTAGGGCAGGGTTCGGGGGCTTAGGGTTTGTCTTCCGAACTCCAAAGCTACGATCACCAAGGGGAGACACAAAAGCACTCCATGGGGTAATGAGGACAAGTAAATCAACGCATGAACCTGAAAACACTCAAGTGTAGAAGCTGGGGGTCTTAGATCAGACGAATCTTATGGAACTCCCTGACTCAGATTCGCGTGAAAACCCCTTGTGGTATAGTATTCAGGGTTCAGGCGTTCGGGGGTTTAGGGTTTCCTAAGCCCTATAGACGCTGTAAGCCCGAAGCGCCCTATACACAGCTCCCTGGTTCTTGAGAAGGGAATGGGGGAATGAATCCATATGATGCCTCGTTAAGGGCCCCTTATAGTTCAGCCCCTATAACCCATTCCCCCATTCTTACTAAGAGCAAGGGCATGTAACCCCTCAAAGCACCAGAAACCCGATGAAAGCCCAAACCCTAATCCCTAAACGCTAAACCCTAAACCAAAAGCCTAAACCCTAAACCCTAAACCTAAACCCTAGACCTGAAACCCGAAACCCGAAACCCTAAACCCTAAACCCTAAACCCTAAACCCTAAACCCTAAACCCCAACCCCTAAACCCCGAAACCCTCAACCAAAGCATCAGAAACCCGATGTCAGCGGATCTTAGGATGGGAATCTCAACGGCCCCGATGTTGGAGGATCACTTCCAACTTCCGCAGGCATGGACAGGATTCGGATTTCGGGGTTTAGGGTTTAGGGTTTAGGGGTTTAGGGTTTAGGGTTTAGGGTTTAGAGTTTAGGGGTTTAGGGTTTGGGGTTAGTGGTTCTTTCAGAGAGCTCCTTATAAAGGTTCTTATGCATAGGGTCTCAGGGTTGGTTTCGGGATTTCAGTTTGGTTTAGAGTTTAGGGTTTAGGAGGATAGAACTCAACATCCCAGGAGTCTTGCAGCGATCCGTGGCCCCGGAAATGAAAAGTTGGTATAATCGGACTAAAGCCCAATCGATGCTCCTGAGAAGACGAGAAGTAGTAATGTGAGACTACACTGCAGTCATATAAGTATTCCCTAATCCCTGAAGCGCTATTTTTTCCGCAAGGTATCCTATCAAGCATGTGCTTGGCTTGCAACGGATTCAGACTCAGCCCCTGACAACTCGCTACCTTGCCCGTATAAGCTTGAGGGCTTCGCGGTTTTATGGTTTAAGGGGTTCCTGCTCATAGCTATGCTATAGTTTCACCCCACACCCTATTCTAATTATGAAGGCTCATATGTTACCTCATAGTATAGACTCTCAGGACCGTTGGGTTTGGGTTGTAGGGGATAAAGCTTTGATTGCTTCAGAGTGTCGGCATCTCCTTGCGATTCTAGGGTTTGGGGCTTCAGGAACCCTTAAGCCTTTGTGCGACAGGCTTCCATGGATGGCTCCCATAGCATGCATCTGGACAGCCTGCTTCGGAGCAGCGCGTACAGGCGGGAATTACAAGTCTCAGGCACTTATTGTGCGGTTTACTTGTTTTACTTGCTGGGGTTCAGGGTTGAAGGTTTTGTTTGCTTGGGTGTTAAGTTTCCTTCCTACGAATGCTCACCAAACCTCGAACCTGATTCTTCAACTAGGGTTTAGGGGTTCAGGGTTTAGGGTTTTCTGATTCTACAGCCATTGGATTTGGCAGCCCTGCTCCGGCCATGTGCAAGTGTTTATCAAGGCCCCTAACCCTAAACCCTAAACCGGCCAACTAACCATGCTCCTCGTAAAGTCAAAACATGAAAGACTAAACTCCAAGCCCCTCGCCCGGAATCCAATGCCGGGGCCTTCATAATTTTGGGAGGTCCTTATCATAATTGTAGTAAAATGAATCCAGAAGCCCCTTCCAATTACTAAGGCCCTTACCCAAAGCCCTAAACCCATAACCCTAAACCGTAAACCCCTCAACTGCGGACGGTTTGCTGTTGATGGAATCCTGGTCGCACTTTCAGCCTGGCACAAGTCCATGATAAAGGGTGTAGGATTTAGGGCTTAGGCCTGTAAAAAACCGTAATGCCGTAAATCCCCAAATCCCCACACCCCTCACGCCCAAAGCCCTAGGTTTAGGGTTCAGGGTTTAGGGGTTTAGGGTTTTAGGGTTTAGGGTTTTAGGGTAAACCCTAAACGTCCCAAACTCTGTTGAAATTCAAGCTTAGGGCCTCGAACAGCCACTTGTTCGAGATGTGTGGGCTTCGAAAGCGTTGGGACTGAGGTTTCTATGTTCGGGTCTGTTCCTCTTCCGGTCGTTTTGTGTTTATTGGTGTATAAGGTCTTCTCGGCTTGTAGAGGGCTTTATGTGAGAATTTGGGTGTGGGCCCTTTTAATTCCCAAAGGGTCCTATGTGTTGTTATGGGGCATACTTCCCTAGATCATAATAGTAATTCCTATTATAAAAACCTTACATTCTACTATATGGGTAGTTGTCAAAAGTATGGTCCCTTTTGGGGTACCCTAAATAATAGGTGCCGTATTATAATAAGGACCCCAAAAGGGACCCTAATTTTGACAACCACCCATATAGGTACTTAGGACCCTTTGTTGGTGTTGGCGTTGAAGCCCGGGCTTTAGGCCGACGGCTCAGGGGGAGGTTTTGGGTGTGTGCATGCTTGGGTTTGCTGGGTGGTAGGATTTCAGAGCCGAACGCTCCAATGTACGGTTAGGGGTCATGAATAGGGTTTAGGGTTTAGGGTTTAGGGTTTAGGGTGTAGGGTTTAGGGTTTAGGGTGTAGGGTTCAGGGTTTAGGGTGTAGGGTTTAGGGTTTAGGGTTCGGGACCTCCCTGTGCACTTTGTCGCCGCCACGCCAGATCTGCCAGATGAGCCCTCTGAGAGGTCACGTTTTCCCAGAGACCGTGCGTCAAGGAGTCAAGTGTTTAGCGCGCTGATCCAGCAGCCTCTTTTCAGCCGTGAGCACATATGGCTTACAATTAGGTTCGGGTCTTGCTAAGACTGCACGCTTAGCCCTAATTAAACCCTATAGGTACGAATCCTAAACCCTAAACCCTAAACCGCCTGAACCCTAGGTACGTTGTTGGTAATGCCATTCCCCAATGCAAAGCACCCCGTGTCGGATTTATTCGCCAGGGGCTGGATGTCGAAAGAAGCTCCGATCTCAACTAAAGCCCTCTCCCGAAATAGCTTGAAACTCTTCGGTTTAAAGACCATTTAGGGTTGAGTGCTTAGGGTTTATGATTCAATGGGTTTACTAGGGCCCACACAAAGCCTTCTCGACTTGATGCCAACAGTTGGGCTTATGAGAACTACATGGTCTGACTCTTCCGATGTGGGGTATACCGGTATCTTAAACTACCGTAGCCTACTCGTTAGCAGGATCCTAGTATTGAGCTGACAGGGACCATGCCAACAAAAGTGTGCTGTCGCACTTAAACTGCAAAATTCCTTTACTTGTCGTGATTTCCTTTTTGTTTTATGCAGCCGCGGCTTGCATTGTGATCTAGAAACTATAGCTTTAAAGCTCTCCTAAACCCACAGCCGAACAAACGATTCTAATCTCTCTTGAGAAACCGATTATCGTAGGAGAACCCTAAACTCCCAACTCTAATCCCTAATCCCTAAACCTTAAACCGGCTACTGTAGCAGGAGGTGGCCTGTCTTGAAGGAGTTGAACTGTGCAGCAACTACCATGAAGCCCAGTTGCCGACATGGCAGATTGGTCGTTAGGCTGTAGGCTGCAGGGCCTTTGGGGTTGCTGAGTGTTAGGGCTTTTAGGTTTGGGGTTTTGCAATTTTGGGGGCGTTTTGGGTGTGTGGTTTTCTGAGGTTTGGGGTTTTAGGGGTCGGCGTGTAGCGTTTAGGCTTGTCAGAATTTGACGGCTCGGGGGCTTAGGTTCCGGGTTTAGGGTTTAGGTTTTGGGTGTAGGGTAGGGTACGCGGGTACGCGTGCTAGTCGGGTGAAGAGTGAGTTTTGAGTTAAAAGTTTACTGTCGTCAGGCCCTTTGCATGAAGCCTATCCCACAGCGCTCCAAAAAAAACACGATATCAAACCCTGTGGGAGCCCTATGTGAAGCATCCTATGAAGAGGAGCTGCGTTTCAGCGGAGGAATGTGCTCAGCTCACATGCGCTTCTGCATAATTGCGAAGGATGGTGCGCAACTGCTATGACCGGGAGCAACATGGCATGTGGGTAGGGTTTAGGGTTTAGGGTTTAGGGTTTATGGCATGTGGGTAGTACAGGAGCCTTAATAATCAATTAGAACAGGGTTTTGGGGCACAGTATACTCTAATTATAACAAGGCACCCAAACAATAGCAGTTTTTTTTGATTGCTCAGGCTTCCATATTAGTTGTCAAGGTGCTGGGGTTTCCTGTGCGTAAGGCATGAGCATTTTGCATTCTTCAAGACCCTTAGATATGGTTTAGGGTTCTTGGTGATGGAAGCCCGAAACACAAAATCCAACAGATACCGTGTCATACCAACGGCTGCCTATCCGACGCGAACCCAGCCAGGAGTTTACTCCAAAGCAAAACCGAAGCCTCAGGGTTTAGGAATGTTTATCATGAAAGCTACAACCTAAGTCGTATAGGGTTTAGGGTTTAAGGTATCGTAGGGTTCTTGTTATGCAGACCGCTAAATGCCACAGCCTATCTTTTGGAGCCCTCAATTTAAGACACCCTTATAACAGGAGTCTAAATTCGCACCTCACACCTTCCTAAACTCTGCAACCGAAACCCGAAACCCTACGCCGTATTGCTCCCGTCATGGCGCAAGCTTGCGCTGGCGGCTGTCCGACTGTACAGTCAGCTGTGAGCCGAGCAACGGGCAGACAACCATCAGTGCTAAGTTCTGAATCCTGGGCCTAAACCCTGAACCCCAACCAAACCCCAAAACCCTACACCCTAAACCCCAAACCCTAAACCCTAAACCCTACACCCCAAATATCCTACTTTCTTGGGGTTCGGTGCTCTGATTTCTGGAGATGAGTTCTGAAAAGGTCAGGTAAACCCTAAATCCTTAAACACAACAACTAAAACCCTAGTTTCAAAATTCCGAAGACAAATCCTCTGAATCCCGACGCACGTACACCTTGATCTTGAACCTGGGTACCCAGAAATCTTAAACCATGATCCCTCAGCCCTCCAGAGTTTGGGGTTTGGGCTCCTACTGCCGGAACCCTGTCTCATGGATCCTGAAGCAAAAACCCCAAGCAACCCTAAACCCAAAGCCCTGGGGGTGTCTCCCGTTGTTTCGGCTTAGTCAGACGCCACGAGCAGCTGCTGTTGGCAACTGCAAGGAAGTGCGTGGGCGACTGCCCCAAAAAGAGGCGGTGTAGGGTTTACCTGAACCCCCAAAGTGAGTGAAATCATGGCCCAAAACCTATAAAGTGCTATTTTTCTACATAATTACTGGGTCTAGGTAGGGTTTATAGGATTTAGGATTTGGGGTTGTGGCAGCAGACAGGTGGCAAATTGGTCTGGGGGTTGATTGTTTGGGGCTTATGGTTTCAGTATGTTTCCAGGGTGAACGAGGAACGAGACTGGCATGTTTCGTGGCGGTCATGCAAGATCGGAGATGATCTCAATGTTTAGGGTTTAGGGTTTAGGGTTCAGGGTTTAGGGTTTAGGGTTTAGGGTTCAGGGTTTGGGGTTTAGGGTTTAGGGTTTAGGGTGCTTGCTTTGGGTGTATGCACAGCCATAACAAGCTGACTCCATGGGTTCCACGGTACAGAGACCCTCAACACCAAACCTCACAACCTCAGCCCTTAAAGGAACCCGTATAATACAGGGGCCAAAATAATTTCTAAGACTATTTTGGGGGCTCCTTATTATGATTATACAATAAATATCACCAAACCCTATTCTAACTACTAAGGCCCGTATATTACGAACCATAACAGGAGCCTCAACCCTAGACCCTATATATATATATATATATATATATATAAATAAAGTCCTAAGCCACTCCCCGACATCGCGATGTTATGCATGTTCAGTGGCTCAGACATGTGCCTCAAATGCCTTGTGGTTAGGGAAATTCAGGTTTGCCGGCCGGGGACTGAGAGCTATGGGATCACAGTGTCATTCAATCCGGGTTCAGGGTTTAGGGTTCAGGGCCCATGTGCCTAAACCCTAAACCCTAAACCCTCAGCCATTGCTTTCAGTTGCCAGCCCTCAAGCCCAAAACGTAGATGTAAAGGAGCAACGAAGCCCTAAACCCCCGCTTTGAAAATGGTAAGCTGGAGACTGTAGGGCTGGCGCTTTAGGGTTGCGGTACCTTGCTGTCAGCTTAACGGTTTAGGGTTTAGGGGTTTAGGGTTTAGGGCTTTAGGGTTGCAGTAATTAGGGTTTAGGGTTTCTTTAGGGTTTAGGGTTTTTCGGTTTTAGGGCTTAGGGTACTTTTTAGTGTTTAGGGTTTAGAAATTTAGCTGGCCTTCGAGCGAAAGAACCCGAACCCCCAATCCCTAAACCCCGAACTCTATAAATCCTGAAACCTTAAACCCTGAACCCTAAAAACCCTAGACCTTAAACCCCAAACCCTAAAACCCTATGCCTTAAACCCGAAACCCTAAAACCTTCAACCTTAAAGCCCAAAACCCTAAAACCCTAAACCTTAAACCCTAAACCCTAACCTTTCAACGCGGGGAGATCGGAGCCCCTTGTTCCCAGCGTACGGGCGCAGTCGCTGACCCCCCGAAGACGGCCGTTCTCTGTAAGGCTTATGCCAGGGATCTAGGGTTCAGGGTTTGGGGTTT